CCGATGACTACAGATATAAGTTTCACAACGCTCGCTGGATTGTGGCTGGAAAGGCCGATCCAGAAATGCCCAAACGAATGTACATCCACCCAGACAGTCCTGCTACCGGGGAGCAATGGATGTCCAAAGCTGTGAACTTTCATAAGCTCAAATTGACGAACAATATATCTGGCAAACATGGGTTTGTGAGTATTTAATGCGATTCATAATTTATGGATGACATTTATTGTAAATTTCTTCTCAAAATAATTGTCTTACACCAAGTGTAAGAGCAACACTCAACAAGTTGCCTGTAGCGATCAGCGTATTAAAGATAATTTTCGTTTAATTCCGTGTGAAAAGATTTGAAAGTAATTTTGTGGTATTGGAACATAAGTGTTATTGTTTGAAAAAAAAAAAAAAAAGTATGAAATGATTATGCAAAATGATATGATTTTGTTTTGCAGACCATATTAAACTCGATGCACAAATATCAGCCGAGGTTTCATATCGTTCGAGCAAACGACATCCTCAAACGTCCTTACAGCACGTTCAAAACCTACGTGTTTCCTGAGACAGAATTTATCGCTGTGACGGCATACCAAAACGAAAAGGTGACAGATTCAAATGTTTTAATAAAGCTTATTAAGTTAATAAAGCTGTGAACAATTTTTTCACAACACTGAAGAAATGTGGTATCATCATTAACATGTGAACCATACCTTTACAGATAACTCAGCTGAAAATCGATAATAACCCATTTGCCAAAGGATTCCGAGATACCGGAAATGGGAGACGAGAGAAAAGGTAGGCTATTTCTTTCTTTCCGATTTATGCCTTTACAGTCCTGTTTAAAAGTCCACTTCTAAAATGCATCGATTTTTTTTTTCTCTCAGAACAAATTATATTATCTGCATACTGAAGTGAAAAGCTGAACTAAACAATATTAATGTCGGAGTCTGTCCCCTTTTGCTTTAATGACAGCAGTACCCAAGCTGCATGGACACAAACGTGTGTAAAACCTGATGATGATTTTCTCCAGCATTATTTGAGAATGATTCAAAGAGCTCAGTACTTAGCAAATCTGACCTTTGGAAAAAATTAGTTCACATGATCATATCACAAATTTACTTATTATTTGATTAGTGCAAAATCCTTCTTATTTACATTGTATCTTTGTCTTTTTATTTATATCATGCTATTTTGTGTAAGAAACTTTCTTTATTTCCAGGTTTAAATTAGATTTGAAATTAGATCTCAGATTTTCAATGCAGTCTTTTGAACAGTAATGTTGGAAAAGAATCAGTTTAATATCCACTGACATATGTATTTTTCAATAATTAGGAAACAGATGTTGCATCAGAGGTGTGATGTGGCACCGAAAAAAGCCAATGTGTTCACACACGACTCGTCTTTTGACCAAACTTCATCAAATCCTTTAATTCAAGAAACGAACGTCGTTACATCAACTTCAACAGGTGTTGGGTTGGGATTTATAATAATAATATACTTATACTGTATAATAATTTGTAATAAAAGTCAAACTGTTGATTATTGTAAACAATTTTATACTTATGTATATATATTTTGTATACTTATATTATTATTATCATTTATTAATATGCTTTTGTCATCTGATTTATTATTAATATTATTGTTGCTATTCCTAACACACATTTATGAGATATTTATTCTACAGATACAAATGAGAGTGACATTGATGGATATGGAGATGAGAAGGAAAGCAATGAAGACAGAAAGCATTCAGTTTCTCAAGATGAGCAAAATTCCACAGAAATCTCAACAACAGTGCAAGAGTCAAAGGACGATTCAAAAGAGGAGATACAAGGAGAAAGGAACATAAAGGTCATCAGCAAAAAAAAGCATGGTGAAGAGGGTTCTGAACATTTAACATTGGATAAAAAACATGCTGAACAACACAAGTTTGCAGATGATGAGACTGATGTTTCTCAGAAGGGTTCGCTCACTCGGCACTATTACATCCCCACTCCAGGCCTAATTAATTCTCTGTGTGTGCCGCCAAATGTCTTGTCAAATTTATGCCAGTTTAATTATGTTGGAACACTTCCGTTTTTGGCATCTGAAGCAACTGGTCCTTGGTTATCTAGAAGGTCAAATGAAGGGGAGGGTCAAGGTTACACCACTTCAGTCTCATCCTCACAACAAAGACTTATTGGCATGCCTGATTTTCAGCAGTACAGAACAACCTCTCAGGTAGGTTGACAATTCATGATGTAAGCCTATTTGGTTGAATATGACTAAAAATACAATTATTTATTGTAAAATAATTGTAAAAAATACAATAATGTTCAAAAATATAAAAAAGACATAAAACATGCTAAACAAAATGTGGTTTTATTGCAGTTATTTATTGTGAAAAAAACCCCGCAATAATGTTTAAAAATATAAAAAGACATAAAACATGTTAACAAAATGTGTTGTTTTATTGCCTTTAATTTGCATGTAAATTTTGTTTTACAATAAATAAATAATACAATTAAACATAAAATAAAATAATAATAATAATAATGATTTGATCTGATTTTTTTCAGGGTGTGCTTGTCTCAGCGCATGGAAATGTATTATATCCACAGAGTTACGTGACCACATCTGCTGCCACCTCTTCTGCTGTATCATATCAGGATCAAGGCCCCCCTATTTTCAATGTTAGCTACCGGTCCAGATGCAGACCTTACCCTGTGCCAACGTGGGTGCATGGCCGAAAAATGCCACAAACCTCAGTATTTGTACCATATGGTGAAACTGATACAAATGAGCATGCTGGTATTACAACTCATGGATCAACTGAGTTTAGATCAAATCCTAATGAGGGTCAAAACATACCGTGTCGAGATCTCTAGAGATGTCTGTACAGGAGCAACAACAAATTCAGCTGTAATGATGTGCATTATGGTATATCTAAAGTCTATGGTATGTATCAGCTGAAGATCTGGATTAAAAATTAATATATACTATTTATTCTTTAGTCTTTATCTGCTGTGTAAAAGTGAAAAATGCGTAATATAGCTACATGAAGTTACAGAGCAGCTGTTAAATAAATTTCATACCATTTTTCTGTGTTTTTCTCCTTGTTTTTTTTTTAACCATTGAAAGTAGTCATATGACTAATATACATCTCACTTAAACATATTTCAGGCTATAGGCAATATCTAACAGTCCTAACATATCGTTTCAGTCTACTTCTCATGATCTCTTTTTCCTGACGATTAATTAAAAGTTAAGCCTAGACTTTTTTCTACCTAAAATCAAGTTTATAATATATATTTTACATTAAATACTTGTATTTGACTTTTAAGAACATTTACAAACATTAACTTTTTTAATGCGGGCAAAATCTGCACCTGCATGATGCTGATGATGATAATTTCACCACAAGAGGTCACCCATGACAGTATGATGGAACCAGATCAGCTGGGCTAAAAAGGTTTACTCAGGGTAGGGGGCTTAAAATGTACCGGTATTTCAAAATCCACACACACACACACACACGTCTGGTTTACTATCCTTGTGGGGACTCTCTTCTACTGTACAAACTGTATTTACTATTGCACTACCTGACACTGGTGTGTCAGAGAAAGGAGACATGCAAAATGTGCAGTGTTGGGGTGCCTCCAGGTCCAGGTTAACCTAAACCTAAACTTCACAGAAAACTTTCTGTATTTTTAGATTTTCAAAAAACTTTAACAAATAAATAGTAAAATTTAATAAAATTGTTTCCCCATGGGGTCCTCAATTTAGATCACCACGGTGACACGAGTCCCCACGTGTAGGTGTGTATTCAGGTTTAGGTCTCCACGGGGATATAAAAATATGTACACACACACACACACACACTGAAATCCACAAAACTATCTAGAACGTAATGTTTGTAACAAGTCAAATACCTTGAAAAGAGTCTGGTAAACTGAACTCAAATGAATTATCCCATTAAGGTCTACATCTGCAACACAATTGATGGCTAACTTTAATCCCATGAATGTTTAATAATTGTAATAGGAAAATGCTAGTTATTTATAGTATATCAATTTCTTTCTTTTTTTTTATTTTTTATTTTTTTTATTATGAATGCAAACATCACAAAGATGACATTAAAGATCCTTTGTTGTAAGAATTTAAAATAACAGACTTCTTCATATAATGGCTTTTGTTTTTCCAGACAAAATCTGTTAGAGCTCTATCAACCAATTTACATGTAGGCTTATCTACATAAAGAGATTGGGCCGCATAAGAGAGGCGTGAAAGTCCCTCAGCCTTAGTGAGCAAAACTCTTCCTTTAATAGATAGATCCCTTTGAAGCCAGCAATTAAGTTTTTTCTTTGTTTTTTCAATAATCGGATTAAAGTTTGTTGCACATCTTTTTTCTTTAGTTATTTCTATACCAAGATATTTAACAGTGCTTTTAACAGCTATGCCACAGATTGAAGAGACATTACAACTTTTAATGGGAAATAATTCACATTTATCAATATTAAGGTTTAGAACAGAAGCTTTAGAAAATGACTGAAGAGTATTTAAGGCTATTGAGGTTTGAGAGGAGTCTTCTAAAAACAATGCTGTGTCATCAGCTAATTGACTAATAATTAATTCTGCATTTCCAACAGTGATGCCTTTTAGGTTACTCCTTTTAATATGTAAATTAAGAAATTGCACTGCAATTAAGAACAGATAAGGAGACACTGGGCATCCTTGACGCACACCACGATTTAGAGAAAACCTGGGAGAGGTACCGTTTTTTAGTTTAATTGAACTATTTCCATTTACATATAACATTTTAACCATCTTACAGAAATAATCACCAAAGCCTATTTTTTTAAGTGCTTGAAATAAAAAAACATGTTCTAAAGTATCAAAGGCTTTATAATAATCTAAGAAAAAGATGAAGCTGTCATTATAAATTATATCAGAATAATCTATCAATTTATTTATTGAGTTGAATAACACAAATGAAATGACGTAACGCTACACACAAAGCGTCATCACAACGCGCCGCTTATGTTGTCATTGTACAGACCAGTTTTAGCTTGTGTTTACTGGTAGCAGAATAATATGGTACATTCTCGGCTGCAACACGGAACATAAGTTGCATGTTATGAAATAAAACTGCCAGTAATATGTCGACTGACATTAGCAGATGCCACTGGAAAAATGACCGCTAATTTAGCTGCTGTCGTGTTCGTTATCTGAAAGATTGTTTAGCCGTTCAGCTTAACTGCTGTCCAGAAATGATGCCGCAGATTTCAGTCAACTACATTTTATTAGGCGGACAGTTCTTGCTGCTCTTCACAGTGCTGCTATTACAGTGTCTAGAAGGGATTCACTCGCAAAACTCAACCGAGGCACCCGGGAACAGAGTAACGACCAGCAAAACAGTTGTACTCGGCAATCATCAACCAGAAGGAAATGTGACGAGGAGTGTTACAACGTTACCTGCTGAAATATCAAATCACACGGAGCAGTATGAGTACAGCCCTCCATCACCTGTCGTCCTCTGTCGATATCTGTAAGTAAACATCTTTATCAAGCACGCGGCCTGTTTTGTGTAAACACCACCAACCTACAGTTCAGTGCTCACTGGTATAGTTATATCATGATGATAATTCGTGCTCTTGTCTCTTTTAGACCAGAGGAATTCATATTTTGTCAAGATCCAGTCGATCACGGAGGAAATTTCTCTGCCTTTCAGGAACTGGGCTATGGATGTGTAAAGGCAAGTACATTTTAATTGGAAAGATTATGTTGCACCAATAACTTGCGTCTCAGAGCCCTCCCAACAGATGTTTATATAGGTGTAGCCAAGCTAAAAACGTACAACTTACATTTTCTCGTAGTTTGGCGGTCAAGTGTACAAAGATGTCAACCATACCCTGGTGTTATGTACGGCACTGGATGGCATAGAGTGCGTTGGACCACGGGAGTTTCTTAGAGGCAATGAGCCATGCATTAAGTAAGTGAAATACAATATAATATATGGTTCCCACAACTTGAAATATAAAATAAATAATTTAATATATACACTTAGTCAGAGGCTATTTGCCCATTAAATTGCGTTAAACGCTGTGTACACTAAGTGAAAAAGCAAATGGATGCTACTTGCACCAAGTATAAATAGTGTTAGATGCTAGTCATATTTTATTGCAAATAGTAGCAGATACTATTTGCAGCTCAGTGTGTTGTAGTACATTATAAAACAGTAGGTTTTAGGTTTATTTTAAGTTTGACCCATAACCACAGTCAGGGCCGGATTTACCTCTTTTCGTGACATAGGCAAAACACATTTTTGGGCCCCCCTTCCCTATTAATATAATAGACCTAATATTACCACCCAAGCAAACAAAATATTTCTTAATCAGTGGAAACCATTATAGTGTTTTCTATCGCAACAAGCGCTTGCGTTCAGTCAATAAAAATCGAATGTATTTGTTTGAGAACTGAGAAAGCCATATAGGTGCGGCGTCGTGGCCACATAACCACTTCGGGAGTGCA